GGGGGCCGCGGCAGGCGGCGGCGGGTCCGGGCCCCCTGGGGAAGCAGGCGCCAGGGCCGGGCCGCCGCCGCAGTAGAGGTTGAAGCCGATGACTGCGTTCCGCTGCACGGCAAACATGGCGCCCGGCCCCGGCGACCCTCCGACCTGCGGGCAGGAGCGTCGCTGCAGCTTATATGGCGGCGATCACGAGTCGCGTCGCGTCACGTCGCGGGGCGTGGTGGGGGCGGGGCGAGGCCCCGCTTCCGGCCGGGACGGGGTGGGGGCAGCGCCTTGGAGGGCTGAGTCTGTTTGGAGGGAAAAAGGGGTGCCCCCCCCTCGCCCAGGCTCCACAGCGGGTCCGTCCCCCCGCCTCCCCAGTACTGCCCGGCCCTGCCGTGGGCCCCGGCCCTTCTCGGTCCCCCCAGCACTGCGGCTGGGGGGGTGCCGGCACTCCTGGCACCAGGGGGGCTGCGGTGCCCCGTGTCCCCTGGCAAAGCTCGGACCCACCGCAGCCGCCCTCTTCCCCTCCAGCACAGGGCATGCGATCCTGGCAGCTGGCACCATCGTTATCCGGGGGGCTGCGCCTCCCCCTGCCTCAGCCCCTGTTTTCTTTCTGTTTGTTGCAGCGCAGAGCATCCCCCAGCAAAGCTGCGAGTGTGCTGCCAGCAGGACCGGAGAAGCCCAGGCACATGCAGGGAGCCAGGACACCCTTGGTGGTGTATACACCAAAAGGGCTGCTTTGAAGTGGGGAGTGTGATGTGCTCTGGGGAGACTTCCCCCCTCCCCCAGTGCTGCCTCCAGCTCTGGGGCCACCAACATCAGAAGGACATGGAGCTGTTGGAGCGGGGCCAGAGGAGGGATATGGAGATGCTGGGAGGGCTGGAGCCCCTCTGCTGGAAGGGGGGGCTGAGAGAGTTGGGGGGTTCAGCCTGAAGAGAAGGCTCCGGGGAGACCTTACTGTGGCCTTTCAGTTCTTACAAGAAAGATGACAAAAGACTTTTTAGCAGGGCCTGTTGCAATAGGACAAGGGGGAATGGTTTTAAACTAAAACAGGGGAGATTCAGACTAAATATAAGAAAGAAATTTGTCATGCTGAGGGTGGTGAGACACTGGCCTGGGTTGCTCAGAGAGGTGGTCGATGTCCCATCCCTGGAAACATTCCAGGTCAGGCTGGATGGGGCTCTGAGCCACCTGATCTAGATTGAAGATGTCCCTGCATCTTCAAGGGAGGGTGTTGTGGTTTAACCCCAGCTGGCAGCTGGGACCACGCAGCCACTCACTCATCTTCCCTTCCTCTCCCCAAGAAGGGTAGGGAGAAAAAAAAAAGAGTGAGTTGAGATAAAGACAGTTTAATAGAACAGTATGAGATAAGGAAAATAATATTAACGATAATAATGACACAAGACACTCACCACCCAGTGAATTGGCACTGTCCTGAGCAGTGATCGCAAGTACCCACCCCTGGCCAAGCCCCATTTCTATTTCGAGCATGACGTCTGCGGTATGGAAAGTTCCATCCTTCTGTCTAGGTTTCTTCTCAACTTCTTTCAACTTCTACAGGAAGCTGAAAAATAAGTCCTTGAAAACTATAAACATTGCCTGGCAACAACTAACACAATACGTTTTATTGACTTCATACCAAATTTGAAACACAACAACCACTAGAAAGAAAATTAACTCTGTCCCAGCTGAAACCAGGACAGGGGATTGGACTAGATAACCTTTACAGGTCCCTTCCAACCCAACCAAACCCAACCCATTCTATGTTACTTCCCACCCACTCATCATTTCACATGGATCTGTCTGGTTAAAGCCCTTTCCAGCTTTGGCTCACTTAGCTGGACGTTCATTGGGAACTGCCTCGTTTCTTCCAGTCACAGGTGGATTGCCTCACTATTTCCCCATTATTCAAAACCTCCCTGCACCCGCCGGCCCCGTGAGGGCTGGGGTGTCACAGAACAGGGCAGCACCCAATGCCCTCGGGGCTGCAGGGCTGGACTGGTGGGTGCCAGACCTGCTCTGCTGTCACCCATCACACCCCAGGGGCACTTTGGCCAGTCTTGGTATCATTTGGACGCTGGCTCTCAATTCTGGTCTTCCCCGGCCCCTCCTTTATCCCCTGGGACTGAGCCTGATGCCCTCCAACTCTGCCCTGGTTTGGACACAACTTGACTGGAGAAGAAGCCCTGGGGATCTGCGCCAACACAGGTGGGTCAGACACTCCCCAGAGAGGCAAATGTCACAGCTTTGCTCCAGGGCGGTGATGAAGAAGAGGAGGTCTCCCCAGCACCTCTTTGCTGGACCCCTTGCTGGGGCTGTGTCCCAGGGACTGTGCTCTGCACCAGCGCAGCTCAACCCGCTCCAGCCTTGGGGCCTTCTTTTGCCTAACCAGACCCACGACACTGCAAATTGGGGTTTGGGGTCCCCAGGAATCACACACCCCTGGCCTAAAGGCAGGAAAGGCTTTCCCCGCAGGCCCTGCTCGCACACAGGCAGCCAGGCTGCCTCCATCCAAAGGTCACTGGAATGCACCGCAGAGCCCCAGCCCCAGCCGGGACAGTGACGTCAGCCCCAAGTCACCCAGCTGAGGCACAACAGTGTCACCAAACTGAGACGTGACAAGAGCGAGACACTAGGCCAGGGGCCACAGAGGGGGGAGGGTCTGCTTCCCCCTCCTCCTGGTGCAGGCAGGTGGGCTTACTGCTGAGCCCCGAACCAAAGGCATGGCCAGCAAGGCCTCGAGGGCAGGCGATCCTGGCGCCTTGGGAGTTAGGGGAACCCCGGATGTGGGGAGGGAACATCAGCACATCTCCTCAGATGGATCTTTCTGCTCCAGGGAGGCAGCGAGGACACTGGGAGCTGCCACCATGAAGAAGCCGCTCTCTGATCAGCATTTCTGGGGACAGAAACAGCAGCCTCTGTCACCACCCTGGCCATCACTGTGCACCAGCAGGAACAGCAAAGGAGGAAGCTGCGGTGAGCGCAGAGCACAGCCCCATCCCAAGTGCCCCAAAGTGCTCTTCTCCCAGATCTTGCAAGAAACAAGGATGTGCATCCACCCCGAGTGCCCCTTCAGACCCTTTGCCAGCTTCTTTCCCAGCTGCCACCCCCACAAGCCAGTGTGAGAGTGGGACCAGGTTGTACTGGGGTCCAGCAAAACAAAACCCAGCGCCCTCAAAACCCTTCCTGTGGCCCCAAGGAATGCGTCCTTGTTAGGAAGCAAATTCTTGGCACCAGGAGCAATAACAGGCAAACTCAGCTTGCTCCAGCAGCTTGGGGCAGTGCCCGGCACATATTTCCCCAGCAGTGCCAAGCTTTAAAGCACAAACATTGGCACACACTTGGCACCAGGCTGGAACAGCATGTCCCTGTGCAAACACCCAACCCTGGCCTCTGCTGTGGGGTAGGCTTGAGCGTCTGCAAAATGGCCAACTTGGGGGGAAAGATGCATGGGAGAGACTTCAATCAGCCCCAGGGAGTGTCACTGGGTCCGTTTGAATAGCAACCCCTGGTGACACCATCAGCTGGACTGTCAAACTCCAGGGAGGAGAGGAGTGATGTCAAGGCTGAAACCCCTGGAATTAAAGCTTCTGGGATGGCTGCCAGTGGGGACAGAGGGAGCCACAGTGGGAGGATGTCACTGTGGGGCGGCCCTGATCCTGGGGAGGGAACCAGGAGCCCCTGTCCCATGGCATGGAAGGGGGCAGAGATTTGTTTTGAAGGCAGGAAGATAAATCCCATCTCCCCCTGTGCTCCCTCCAAGTCTCTCGGCTGTGACCCAAGGAGCCTGCTTTAGCCGCACAACAAGATGGACCCCATGCCCACCCCCTCCCCCCAGCCCATGCACATCCAATATACCCCATGGCTGGGCAAAGACCCCCATACACCCCACAACCACCCAACACACACCTTTGTGCCCTACGCACACCCCAGAGCCCTCTGTTGCTGGTCCAGGTCTGGGAGTGGAATGGAAATAACCCCGCTCCACAGCTGCTACCCTTGTACAGAATTGCTCTTGCTAGTTCTTATCATGTGCTGTCACAATCGCTTCCCCCTCCTGTGCAAGCACGCCTGGCATTTCCGGAAAACCAGGAAAAGATCTGGTTCCAGAGCTGTCTGCTCCTCCTGCCCCCTCTCAGCGCAGGGGCAGCCCTCAAGCTGCAATGCCCCTTTGCATTCTGCACTATATTTCCTCTTTTTTTTTTTTTTTTTTTTTTAAACAAAAAGCAAGCATAGCACTCTAGAAGAGAGGAGAGATGAACATGTAAAAAATTATATATATTTTTATATATATGATTCATATCTATTTACAACATGGCTAGGACAGACAGCAGAACATCCAAGGAGGTTGCACAGCCACTGCCAGTGCTGCCCCCTGCCAGGTCATACAGGGAAATACGACGGAGACCGAAGCATGGACCCATGGTTACAAGTGGCAGCTCCCAATCCCGCTACACTCCTTGCCGGCTCCACAAAGAGAAAACCATCCTCCACAGCCACGGGGCCAACAACAGAGCCCCTGGCTCATGGTGCCCTGATGAGTGGAGCCACAGCTGGGTTGCTCCGAACCACCCAAAGGCAGACACAAACATTCCAGCACACCCTCAGCAAACACTGTCCCAGGAAACACCACGTTTCTTGCTCCAGCCAGCAGAATGAAAGCAAAAGTCTGAGTCATCCAGCCAAGAACACACATAAGGAAAGCTGAACCCATGCAGAGCATCGCCTGTTGCCTCCCTGTCTTGGTTTCTCCTGACCTGGTGGGAATCTCAAAGAGAAAAAAAAGAAAAAAAAAAAAAAAGAGGAAAAAAGAAAAGACATCCACTCAACTTCCTTTTGCCCACGTGCCTTCAAAACCAGGTCTAAACCAGGCAGGTTCAACGCTGCCCTGGCACAGGCATGCCAAAATCTTTTGACAGGATGGGAGGTTGCTTCATCACCACTGCATGAGGAGCGGAGAGTACATGCACTGAGCACACACATGGTTTTGCAGGCTGCAGCCATCACACCAACCTTTGCGGGAGAGGGGAGGAGTGTTTGGGTTTTTTTTTATTTTTGGTTTGGGTTTTTTTCAGGCCTGGAACAAAGAAAAGGCAAGAGGGAAAAAAAAGGGAGAAAGAAATCCAAGCTTGGGGTGCCTGACACTATCAACACAGGTTTGCCTCGCCTCTATGCTCCTCTCTTCCTAATCTCCATGCTCTCTGTGTCTGTCTAGTGCTTTTTACCCTTCCAGGGTGGTTATTCCCATTCCTGCCTCTCTCTCTCCAGAGATCAGCTCCAACAGCTCACATCCATCTTATCGGCTGCTTCCAGTCCCTGCTTTACAAGCGCCAAAGTGGGCATCAGGCAGGGGCTGCATGCGACCAGACGGCTCTGCCCACTTGGCCACTTTCCCCTGTGTCCCGAGCACCCTGCTGCCAGCGGGATTCAGCTCACCACCTTTTGCTGCCTACTGGGAGGGGAGCCATCTGTCACCCTTGCCAAGGCAGGCAGTCTCGCCAGCCAGAACTGACCAGGGAGAGAGAAGCTGCCCCAAACCCTCTGGGGCAGCTGCGAGCCTCACACTGCAGCCCTCCAGCACAGCCACACTCAGATACCCCCAGAACGCCTTGTCGCAGCTCCAAGCCACCAGGACCATTACAAACACTGCCTGGCCTCTCTCCCACAGCCACTGGACGCATCATCCCCTCCTCCGTGTTCAGCTGCTTTGCAGAAACAGGGGACAGATTCCAGGCAGCTTATCCCAGCAACAGAGCCACAGAATTGTTTGCGTATCAGCTAATTTCTTCACGTAAAAGCTCTAACACACACACCTAACTAAACTTCCAAATCACGTATCGCATGTTTTGCCCAGCCAGTTCTTCCTCTGCAGACACCCGGTGCCTGAAAAGCATTCACATGCCACAGCCCTGAGCTCCCCCCTCCCACTCGGTGCCAAGCAAACAGCAGTTTCTCCCAGGGATGCTTGACTCTCCCAGCAAGGAGGCAGTGCTTCAGTGGCTCTGCAAGCGAGGATGGTTTCAAACAATGTGAAAATTAAGGCAGCAAACCAACTCGCTAAAAGGATCAGCCCAATCAAATCTGCCTGTGTATCCCAGGCTACTGACTCCTCTCTCTCGCCTTCTTGGTTTTGGTGTGTTCACTGTAAATACTCAAATAACTATGTGGATTCTGGTGCTCCCGTCCCTATGGTACAGTAAGTTCAATCCATTTAGCCAAAAGGAAAAAAGAAAATAGGAAAGAGCCCAGCCCATGAATGCAGGCTACCCTGCCAGCTTGCTGGTCACAAGGGAGGATTTTCTCTGCGGGAGGTCCTGAGGTGTGGGGATGTGGTCTCCTGTCACCAGGTTCTTGTCTGGCCCCACACTTGGCAACTGCTTGTTCTTCATCTTTGCCTTGGCCATGTTGTAGTCACCAGAATCAAAGTATTTTTGCTGGAAGAGGGAGAGGAGCTCAGGTTACTTTGATTTGCAGGAGTGTGGGGACATAGCAGAGATACAGACACCTGGCCACAAATACAATCATTTAAGGAGCTGCTGGGGTTGCTCAAAAGCATGTCACAAAAACATCACAAGGGGAATACCCAAGCAAGGAAGCCTGGCCTGATTTAAAGCACTTTTAGTACCAACCCACAAACCCCAGAGTGACTTATCTGCCCCACCTGGAAGAAGCTTTGCCCCACAGCAGCTGCCTGGCTGACTTGAGACATTGGGTGCATTTTCTCCCTTTGACCCACCTTTGGGTATTTGCAGCCTGTGAACTTTCACTGCTTGGCGTGGCACTTGCTGGGTAAAGACCAGGTTTGTCCCGCTCTGCCTTTGCACCACAGTCAGCATGACAGGGATTCAGTCCCAGTCCAGAGACATTCCAGCCAGCCAAATGCAGGCACAGCCACATCAGCAGATGCCTCCAAGTACAGGATCAGCTGCGGTGGCAAAGCCAGTGGACATTTGCTTATACAGTTTACTCTGATTTGGCAAACAGATGAGCTGGTGTGACAGAGGCAGGATTTTCCCCCCGCAGAGCACGGCCTGGCCAGTGCCAAGACCTTCAACAGACCATCCAGGCTTCTAACAGCCAAAATGACGCAGGGAACTGCCTGCAAAGACATGGCCAGAGGACACCTCCCTGCTGCACAGTACCACCGACCCACGGTTCAAGGGGCATTTTGCTCCCATATCACACACATCACTGCAGACCCTGTGCTCGTTCCTGGTGCTGCTTCACCCCCCGCAGTGGTGTAAGAAAAGCTGAACACCAAAGCAGAGCTTGTGCTGGTTCTACAGACAGGGCTCTGCTGGGCATAAGGAGCTCTGAAGAGCCCAACTGCCCTGATGCACTGTCAGGGGGCCCCCATGAGCCCAGCTCTTCCCTGCTTCAGCATCAAGCCAGTAAACAATCTCCTTTCTGTGCTTGCTTTTGGAGCTGGTACCTTAAAAGAATCCTGGTGATCACATCACTGTGAGCGCAAACGCGCACGGTAGCTGCTCAGGCATAGGGGACAGCTGTTAATACAAGCTGGAAAGGAAGTGGCAACACAGAGCCAAATCCTGCGCGATGGAACACAGAGACACCAGGGAACAGAGACACCATGTGTTCAGAGCCGGGGAGGGCACACGGCCACTGGCTGCCAGCAGCTCAGGAGGGATTTGCGTTTCCTGCACCAGCCTCCACAAGGAGGACAGCCAGCAGTGACAACCCAAGCAGGCTACAGATGGCTCTCAGAGAGGGATTTAATTAAACTTCCAGGGAGCAGAGTCAGAGCGTTGGCTTTTTACACTGGTGCCAGCAATGGAGATGCAGCCAAGCTGACTCACTAGCATTCTCAGTGCCCTTTGCACCAGCCCAGAAACCAGGCAAAGTGCAGACCACAGAGAAAAACTCAGGCCTGCAGCATCCCAGTAGCCCATTGAACCGCAGGGAGCACAACAGCAGCAGGGAGGGCATTTACGCATTTGTTTCGCCTCTAGACCTCAGGTTTTGGGTCAGGGTGTGGAGGACAGGGTAGGATCAACCTCTGTGGGAGATACACAGAGCAAAACCACCCGAAGGTGGCAGCTTTTGGGTTCTGAGCAGGCACAAGTGCTTCTTGGTTGACCACAGCAGACCTCACTGCTTCAGGCTTGCGGCTGCTGGGTACCATGTCCAGCACAGGTGCTGAAAGGAACCTGGCCCATGGTTTCAATAGATTTTTTTGGTCTGAGGAATTTTGGTGTGATTCCTCTGACCTGGCTGGAGCTTGGCTGCCTGTGCCATTGAGGGAGAAGAGGACGTGGATGAGCCATGGCTGAGACATAAATACCCCTTTCTGCAGTCTCTTCATGAGGAAGTCGGAGCCTCCAGGCTTCTGGCCTAGGTTGGGGTATTTAGCCTTCAGTTTCGCCTCTTCTGCTCTCTCAGGGGTGATGGTTTCCTTCTCTTGTGTGTCCTAAAAAAAAAAAAAAAAAAGAGAGGGTGAAAAGCCCTTCAGCCCCACAGAAAAACACACCCTTGTGATGCCGTAGCACAATATTCAGCAGCACGTCCAAACCCCAGCGCCTGGCTTGTCAAGCAAGGTGCGCCCCCCTGGAAAACCCAATGCCCTCGGAAAATATTATAAACACCTTCCCAGACAGCTTTTACCTCCAGTACCTGCGGAAAGAGGCAGAGACCCTCTCCCTGCTTCCTTCCCAGATGGAAGCTCCTGCAGGTGCTTGTGCTGACATTTGACTTTGCAAACTGGGCTTAAAATGTCACCACATATTGCTGCTGGAAAAGTGCCTTCCAGGGACAGATCAGACCAACATCAAAAAATGTCAGCCCAGAGCTGCCCAGCACAACAGGCTGCAGCAACGCACTGCAGCACTGGGAGGCTTCAGCCTTACTGTGCCTGTTGCAGTACAGCTGTGATGGGAGAAACCCTTCTGATCCAAAACCAATTTAATGGGAATGACAACTGACTCAGGTAGCAAAGCAGCATTTTACCACCTGTTTCACAGCCACAGGAGTGTCAGGGTGTTCTGGGAAGCCACCCAGCCTGCTCAAAACCTGGGACCTCTGGGGCCAATTGTGGCAGGCAGTGCCAGGCCCTGGTTGTCACCTGGCACCTCTGCAGGAGCTTTGAGACACCCCCTTTGCCCCAACCCAGCTATCAGCTCAGCAACGACGGCCAAAGAGGGGTTCCCAGTACAGGGCTTGGGATCCGCTCCCCAACCGCCAGCCTCTCTCTTTGGGGGGGAGCATTCCTCCCTCCAGGGAAGGGCTGCAGGCCTGGGGACAGAAGTTTGGTCTGGGGTGGGAAGGAATCAGGGTCCCAGCAGGGCCTGAAGAGCCTCACCGAGAGCAAAGCCAAGTTGTAGCTGGCCACTGGACCAGCTCCAATGGGAAGACATCACTGCTGGCCCTCACCAGTAGCCAGCTGGGGCCAAGCCACCGCAGGAGCGCAAGTTGCTGTTTCACAGGATGTTGGCAAGGGCTGTTTTTTGTCACTGTCCCCTTCCCAGCAGGGACAACATTGGCAGACTTGGCAGCAGTAGCTCTGCTCCTACCAGCACCAATAGATGCTGTGTGCATCTTCTCCCCAGTGCTGAGGCCCTCAACAGCTCCAAGCACACAAGAGATGGCATGGTCCTCACAATAAGCATGGCAGAATGCTGCTACCACAAGCTCCTGCCCCATCCATGAAGCAGGAAAGCCCTCAGCATCGGATGGGACCAGCAAGCTGGCGGGATGCAGCCAGTGGAGGCAGGGAGGACGGGAGTCCTGGACTCCCCATTCATGAGGCACTGAAGCTTGTCCTGGTGGCATTAAGGGGATGTACTCCTGTGCATTTGACTGCTGGGACTTCCCAGGTGGCCAAGAGCAGAGTTGGAGCCCCACAGGTTGGAAAGCATTTCTGGCACTGCAAGAGGTTACTAACATGGTCTTTCACTGGTGCTGACCGGGGAGGGGAGCAGCTCTTCACAGCATGGCTGCAGCCCCGCAGGCCAGCTCTTCACAGAGGCTGTGAGAGGGTGCCTGCAAAGGCTGCCATGAGACAGCTCCTCAGCCTTGTCTCAAAAAGACAAAGCAAACCTGAGTTAATGACAGCTCCCGACAGTCTTAACTTGGACAAGCGGAGCTGGGAGCAGCAGCATGTTGCGCAGGTTCAACACATCCCACTCAGTCTCCCAGCTGCATAGGCTCCTCCTCACACCCCCGTCCGTGAGGGTCCCCAGGGGACTGCAGGGGGAGCGAAGGCAGTGAAGGTACTGAGAGTCTCATTGCGATCTTCAGCTTCTGCGTGCTGCAGGGCTTCACCCACGCACAAGCCTGAAGGAGCCCAGCTCTTCTTACCTGTCTCCATGACAGCTCCAGGGATAAGAGCCGTGGCCAGTGCACACCACTCAGCTCTGCCACAGCGCCAGGCGCTCCATGAGCCCCAACACCTGATGGGGCACGGGGGATTTTGGCAAGAGAAGCTGAAGCTTTGCCCCCCCAGCCCTTCCATCATGTCAGCCTGCTCTTCTCAGTTCTTAATTTCCAAACCTCCTCCCTCCCTGCCCGGCTGCAAAGGCGACTGTCTCCCATCGCCCTGTCTCTCCCGCGCTGGCCAGGCTGTGCCGCTGCTCCCCACCGCCTCGGGCCATCACTCCTGCAGCACCCACCCAGCCCGCGGGTCCCGGGGCCGCCCACGGCGCTGCCTTCCCCACGGGAGAGCGCTCACCGCCCTCCCCCGCTGCCCGAAAAGCGGCGCATCGGCCCCCTTCCTACGCCCACCCCCCGCCTTACACGAACACCGGAGAAGGAGAAAAGCCTCTCCCGCTGCGCAGCCGCCCAGGCGGTAGGGGGAGGGCCGGAGGCGGCCGCAGCGGGAGAAGACAGAAGCTCCGCTGGGTCTTACCGGCCGGAGGCTGGGGGGGCGGCGGGGAACAGGCTCACGCCGGGGACGCGACAGCCACTGGAGCCATGGCCCAGCCCGGCTCCTCCATGCCTGCCGGCAGCTCTGCCCCAAGGAGCCGCAGCCAGGGGTGCCGGCCCCGCTCAACCTTCGCAGAGATCCCCGGAGGGAACCGGATCGGGGGAGGCGGGGGGGGGGGGA